TCGCTCGCCACAAGGCATACACATTTTAAGACAACCAGAATGCCTGTTTCTGTGTGGGTCTTTTTTTCTCAAGAGGTTAAAAGGGGCAACATTTGTCATAATCTAAAGATCAGCTTTGCGAGGTTTGTGAGAATCTAGATGATTTGTATTACCTACCGGAGGTAACGGGCTGATCCCACTCAGTGAGTGGTGCACAGCCAACGACGATCGCCGCCTTTTCCAAATGTCTCTCATTCGAGATTTTTCGCCCCGAGGACCCAAGACGCAGGAGGATGGTGAGAGTCCGAGGCAAAGTGCCGCGAGACTGCGAAGCTACCGCACGCGACTTATCTTTCAAGTCGGTGTGGAGAGAGCTGAAGAAGGACGGGTGGACACGAAAGCCACCTTCGGGCCGCAGTCTCAATGACCGCTACTTTTATATGCCTCCCGGAGAGAACGTGAAGGGGAGCGAAGGCGTCGATTACTTCCGTGGCGAACAAGCAGTATTGGAGCATTACGCAAAAGGTGTGTGTATTGCTTGCAGCTGAATAGCTCGTTGCTATGTCTAATACCAAGTTTGTTACTTGTAGAGCTGCGACGCAATGCGGTAGGCGTCCAACCCAGTGCTCCTGGAGATGATCAGCTAGCTGCTACCGCAGCTATCGTACGTGAAAACTACGCTGCTGATATCGAAGCAGCAGAAGCAAGAGCTCGAGCTCAGGCTACTTCTCAACGAGTCCCCACCAACCAGCCAGCTAACGGTGTGCCTCCCGTCCCCGTACGTGAATCTTCTACCAGGCCACAGTCACCATCACAGCGAGCGCCGGCGCGTCGCTCTTTGATGAATACTTCAAGTCCTATGGCAAACTCGCCAGTTAGAAGTACCCAGCGAAGCTCTCAGCTCATCCCGACGTCACCACGCGTTCATGACGCCGACTGTTCATCTGAAGAAGCAGAAGAATCTGATAATATCAGCGGCAGCAACTCCACACACCCAGCACAAACTCCAACCAGAAACGGTATGCTGCATTGTATACTGTATGCTATGCTGAATACATTGCAGCATAATGTGGTGCATAGTGCTCTGCATATTACGCTGCATTATATACTGCATAGTATGATGTATATTAATCCGAATACTTACATAATTATGTGCTGTTCTTTAGATGACGTTAATGAAGACGGAGAAGATTCAGCTCTTGGTAGCGAGCTGCTTGCCGATAGCACCGATGATTTGAGCGTGGTTGTTGATCACGCCATTGAACATCACTTTGGAAAGTTGGATTCGGGTGATGAGGCGGAAGCCAATGACATGGAGACTGGAGAGTGTGTATCGGATGAAGAGGAGGGAATTTATTGTGCATCTGACGACATTGGTAATTATCTGGTCGCGACAGAAGACGAAATCACTGCAGAGGCTCATTTCGCGGAGAATTTTCTTGATAGTTTTGGTGGAGAGGATGAAGTTCTCGCTGGAAACCTAAAGAACGCTGTCCTGCGTGAGATGTCCGCTATTGGCTGGGAGGATGTCATTGAACCTGATACTGCTGAGTACATGCAGGGCCCGAACGACCCCGTCGACAATACTTCAAGCTATCCTGGCCTTCGCCAAGGGTACTCGGGTCCAACTGCAGACGTTTTGCGCAGAGGAGACTCTCCAATTGGACTCTTCTTTTACTTTCTTCCTGATGTATTGTGGCAGCGCATTGCTGCTTGCTCGACGGAGTATCACCGGGAGATGCTACCACGTCGTATTGACGAAACATTTCTGCGTTATCGCTGGAAGCGGAGGTTGAGCCCGCAGTTACCAACAAAGACAAGGCGAGATATTCAGCACGACTTGGAAGGCATGAAGCCTATCTTACCACACAAACTGTGCCAGTTTGTTGGACTATTGGTGGCAAGGACAATTGCTCCGAACAGAGAAAAACTTGCTAATCACTAGAAGACAACGGATGAGGGCGCTATATCACGAGGGTGTTTCGACTCAGTGCTGTCTAGAGACCGATTCATGGAAATTTCACGCAATCTTCATTTCAACTCAAACAACGACCCCAGGGCTCAAACCGATCGCGCCTGGAAGATCCGCAAGCTGGTAGAAGTCTTGCAGCGCACTTTTCTTCGTGGATACGTTGCGCCATCACACTTGGCGTTCAACCAAGCAGTCTTACCCAGTCGGTCATCCTTCAACAAGATGCGCGTTTACATGAAGGACAAGCCCCACAAGTGGGGCACCAAGCTCTTCATGCTATGCAGCGCAGTCACAGCGTACCGCATCAGGTCCGATTTTTTTGAAGCAGCTTTTTACTATCATGCATTATGCAGTTTTGTCTGACATTTTTTGTGTCTTGTTTGCTGAATATATGCAGGTTTGAAGTATATTGCGGTAAGAAACAGCACACTAGCGACGCCCACAAGCCCGACATGAAATCAGGCCCTGCTGCTATTGTCCGAAACCTGCTTGCTGGATTTGGCCCGGATGCTAGAAAGCAGGGAATGCGCCTAGTCGTCATCGACCGGTTCTATACTTCTGTGGCTTTAGCTTTTAAGCTGTGCAGATGGGGTTTGACTGCGTGGGAACTATCATGACCTCCCGCTTGAAATACTGCAAAGGTGTCGTCGAGAAGAAGAAGACTCGTCCACCCGGGAGTACGCGTGGGTCGTTCAAGGTGGCTACTTCTAAGCTCGTGCCAAATATGTCAGCAATATGTTGGTGGGATTCTCGCCCTGTACACTTTCTCAGCACAGGAGGAAGCCTTGAACTAGATCGGGTGGTGCGACAGAATGATCCCACGCAAGAGGAAGTGCCATGCCCCAGAGTCGTAAAAGATTATCAAGCGTACATGGGTGGTGTGGATGTCCATGACCAGCTGAGATTGCAGCGTTATTCTCTCCAGCGTGCACTCCGTTTTAGAAAATACTATAAGTCGTTGGCACTGGGGCTCATTGACTTGGCTATTGTAAATGGATACATAGTTCATAAGGACTTTCACAAGAACAAGCAGTCACGATCACTTACCCACGTGAAGTACATGAAGAAACGCCACCTTCAGCTGTGTCGCCTACAAGCTACAGACATGTATGTGTCCAACACATTCGGCACCCAGCCACCCCAAGCCAGACCTGCATATGTACCGGTTCCTATCGGTGCAAATCAGTCAATTGGACACGCTGCCCGTCCAGTAGATGAATGGAGAAACGAAGGAACACAAGGGAAAAGACGGCAAAGGATATGCAAGGCGTGCTCGCTGCTTCGAGCAGACACCCAGCGAGCATCAACAACTACATACTATTGTGGCGACTGTAGCGACAAAGGGCCAGTCTACCTCTACATGCGGGCGCGTCGACAAGTGCGTGGGGTCGCCATGACATGTTGGGATGTGTGGCACAAGGAGCGAATGAACGGAAAGCTGATCCCTTTCGAAACTGATCCCTTTCGAAAAAGGCAAAGGAATTCGTATACGTCAGAAACCGGCTGAAGCACCTAGTTCTCCATCGACTCCGAGTACTCCTGCAACGCCAACATCTTCCGAGAGGCGACGAACGACAACGTAACTTCTGCCCTACATATATTTTTGTCTTTAAGGTGCATTATATTCAAAATAAGTCAAACTGCGTAAGTTTTGATCCACAGCTGTGTAGCATCTAATGTTTGTTCTCGTGTAAGCTCATCTCAAAGCGCATCACAAGGCTCATGTCTCTGCTCCAGTCGAGTCGTGTTCAAACAGCTGTGGTGTCCACATATATAGCACTCTTCGAATTTGTATAGACCAGAAAACAAACTGTCTCGTGTCATTTGCTTGCGTTACTTGATAGGGGTGACACCCCAACTTTGTTTATAGGAATTTGTATAGGAAAATTCAGTTTTCAAAAATTTAAAAATGAGAGCTGTAGACTGAGCTGGTTCTGTTCCTATGTTTTCGGAAGTCGTCCTGACTGTTTTGATTTTATACTGCATAATGCAATTTACATGTGGCAGCCTTACTACCTATATGCAGGTTTGGGCAGTTTAATCGCTGCTCTGCGCAGTTTTGCAAATCCCATTTTTTTATAAGCGAGCTACACCTATCCCATTCTTTACAATTACCAAGTTTAATAAAGCTGCATATGCAGTTTAAATGTGACTTTTGATTTCCGGTTTAAAAGGGTTAACCAAAATTTACGTGCAATTCATAACTAAAATGGAGAAATCCGGCGAGCTTTAAAAGTGAGGCCACGATCGTGGTGATAAAGGACGGTAAGCAACAATAAGTAAACAGCTTCAATTGTCCATCATGACAAACAGCCGCATTCATCGTCTTAATGCAGACAATATTCCAGGACTGCAGGGACAGGCTTCTAGCTCAGACTGCGTTTAGGCTTGAGCAGGAGGGCCTTCGTATAACATGGAGCTACGTGGCGCGTCGGATGGCACAGTGTAGGCGCTCAGTGATATCGCTATGAGCGCGACTCGCAAGTCTAAAGGGGGCGGATTATTTTTATGATAGTTTTGGCTATTTTCTATGTCATATCATTTCGGCTTCTGTTTATGACATTTTGGCTTTTTTATAAGTCAGAGGATTAATTGTATGCTGAGGGGCTTAATTGTATGCTGCTAGGAATGCAAGTGTTCCCACGCAAGGATCTGCTCAATTTTTTTGGGTGACTATATAGTTTTTTTTCTGTTTGATGTTCTAGACTAAATGTGCATTATACATGCAGCTGCTGGCCTGCAACGTAGTACGCTTCTAGTTGGGTGCAATGCCGTGTCCCATCTGGTAAGAGTAGATAATTGCTCTTGCCAGTGCTTCAACCCCCAAGGCGCTAGCTTCCTCGCCTTCCTCGAATTCGATGTTCCGGTATCGTTTACCGCCTTCATGAAAGGTGGATTAACTTTCCCAACGTGGTTGAGCTCTGTTCCTTCGCCTTCGTCGTTAGTTCTATGATCGGCCATCAAAATGCTCCCGTAGATGACACTAGCGGGCTTATCCACCGACCTCTTGATCAGCGAGTACACAGCATACTGCAACTTTCGAAGCCTGTCACGATCCAGGCATCTTGTCATTTTCCGAGGACGTCCAGGTGGCTTTCGAGCCGGTAGGATTCGTAGCATAACCTGTAGGTCTAGGGAGTCTACGAGATGTTACATGTCAAAACGTGAGCGCAGAGCCAGCCGGTTTGGTAAAACCGCTTTCAGTCGCACTTGAACTTACGTCGAATCATTTTGATCTCGTCGTTGCTCCAGGAATGGTTGTCCCCTTTTTTCGTGGCTGAACGGAATTCACTCTAACATTTTCACGACGTGAATCGACAAATAGCGCAGCTGGATGCTCTCCACCTTCTCGTTTTGCTTGAGCTTACCTCTGTGCGAGGCGTTGTGCGTTTGGCTCGATTGCCGTTTCCGTGGACGTTGTCATCGGGTACGATGTAGTGCTCGGCGTTGAAAAAATATTCTTGGATGCTGTTAACCGCCCGTCTGGACTTTCGTATGTGAGTAGGGTAGTGATTGCCTTCTTCGCATAGAGCCACAGCCATCCGCAAATCTTGTGCGCTCACTGGGCCAGACGCATAATGGATGATAGGCTCAGAGTCGATGTCCATAGCACTTTCGACCAAGAGTTTAGGCAAAATTTAGAACGTGCACCGTCGCTGCTCGAAGATGGCTAACTACCGTGGTCTTGATAGTTCAATTATGGGATTCAATCGGATTTTGGTTTGCCAGCACTCCAGCAGTGCCACGTGCAGTATAGAGCCACAAATCCCAGGGGTCTGTCAGGTATTCATCTCTAAGCCACTGTGCGTACTCGGCTTCACCCAGCGTCTCCCAGTTCTTGACCAGTAGCTCAGATAAAAACCTCGAACTGGTCAGGCGAGCGCGCTTCGCTGAGGCATTCTAGTTGAATGATTTCTTGGTAGCGCTTACTTGAAGACAACAAAAACGTTTGCCTCTGGCATTGTGATATCAATGTGGCCAGCAGTTCAAAAGTTTAATGTCAGGCCAGACTTGGCGAAAGGCACTTGCGATAGAGGCAGAGTGATCCAATGATCCGTAGTTAAGCTCCAAAACTCCACTAAACTCCAAATCACATTTGTCCCTGCAGACAGTAAAACGCCGTGTATACGCGAAAGCTGTTTCCGTCCGAGTAAACATGAACGCCATTGGGTAGAAGTTCGATTGATACTCGTTCAGATCCGCGTAGCGCACCCCAACGGTACCGAACAAAACTAGTGTCCGTCCGCCAAAATGGATATTATAAGTACCATCCGTTACACCAAGCTTTTAATGGGGATACGTCAAATTAACGTTGGCCTAGTACTTGCGTAGGAGCAGTCCTGACAATCGCCTGGACGTGAAGATAATCTCGACAGAAACCTCTCCATTCTCTAGAGGATGTGTAAAGCAATACAGTACAAGTAGCTCGTGCTGAAAGTTGAATGACTGCTGACAAAACCACAATGCATCCGAGCCCAAATAATACTCGTGGTGCTACTGAAATTGCTCAAGCGTTGTGCACATTCTCGGAGAGGCCCACTCCATCACGTCGGCGTATTTTGTGATTGAAAAGCTTCACGTCTTTTTAGTCTCTGTGACCGATTTTTCAGCTGCTTGACACTAGGGAATATCGCAAGTCGATCTGGCGAATTCTTATATCGAACTTGAAGTGTCGTCAAGCATTTCTTTGGACCTTGGCCGGAGTCGATGTCCCTTCCGTCTTCCAATCGAATTCAGTCTAAGATTTCGAGAAACAAAAAAAAAGGTCGGGGGATGACGAACGGTGCCCATCTGAATGTCGTGACGTCTTGACGGCGAGCATGCGCTCTGCGGCTTCTAGCTTGGCCCTAAGCCAGTCAATAGCGATTGCTGCACAGTCTAAAGAGACCCCAAGACGCTTGAACGGGCGCATCAAAGACAAATTAAAGAGTGAGTTAAGCGGGAGGGCTTTGAAAACTCCGTACGATAGGCTTACTTTTTCAAGATATATAATTTTCTAAGTTTTATCGCCTGGAATAGAGCGCTACCTACTCTAATACTGAAAATAACGTCAGATTATAATAGACATTGCACTATATAGAGCGATATCTCCTCTAAAGCGCACTTACGGCAAGGCGCTACGTATCTTTCCACCCTGCTTTTTAGTGACCTTCTCCAAGGTGTCATCTTGACATCGCGGTCGCGCTCGCGACCAAGTATTTATTCGGCGCTGCCTCGTATGCAAGCTACACGGTGTAGTATGCGCCATCAGGTACCCGACAGAACCCAGCATCACTAACGCTTAGAGCCACGGTCTCACCCTTAGTGCTGCCGCAATTGCAACATTCAATTACACTGCTAGAACAACCAGACGTTATTGAGGCTGTAAGCATGAGTTTTGGAGATATCACTTCCAGCGAAATACGACAGCAGCTCGGTCACATTCACGATAACGCTGGAGAGGTGCTTCCGGCTGGAATTGCAAAAATGATTAAAGCTATGGGACCAATTAGCAGCGACGGCGTATTGGTTGATATTGGAGCTGGAATCGGCAACATAGTTGCTCAAATTGCGCTGACAAATGCAGCTGACTCATGCGTGGGTATTGAAGTGCACGGCGAGTTGTGTCTACTTGACCATGACTGCATCCAGAATCACGTACCGAATTTCTCTCAGCTCAGCAAAGCTATTATGGTCGCGGGAGATGTTCGAGCCGCGGTGCTTGCATTAAATCCCGTAGCCCGAGAGGCTAGCATAGCTTTTGCCGACAATTATTTATTTGAGGAAGAAACCAAGCTGACAACTCTATTGGAACTTAGTTCCGACCAGCTACACTTCGGACTCGTGAATATGAATCCCAACAAACTCTGTACGATGAAGCGTGCCCGCGGTGTAGCGGCAAGTTGCGTAATTTGTCTGAGACATCGGTCAACCTGCACGGAGCCTTTTTGTGCACAGTGGACGTTCGAACAAAATCAGAGCGTGGTATGTACAGTAAATGCTGGCGATTCCGGTACTACTAAAAACGTATATCCTGGATCAAATGCTAGTACATATATCATTTTAAAGAGGGATGATGTGAATGCTTGGCGAGAGTCATTCCACACCAGTCACCGGAGCCCTTTGGCGCGAATTACAGCGCATCAGTCATCGTCGTAGCCTTGGGCAGCGAAAACCACTCAGTATAGCTCTCATACATTTCCCATCGACCTGCCATGGGCAAATGGCTGAAGATAAATCAGAAGAAAGCCTTGATTAAGAAGGACAGTGAGTGTCCACACATGACACAGGAAGAGCTGACGGCTTGGGCAGAAGTCGCCTTTAAGTTAAAGAGAGTACCAGCCCAGACGACGGTTTCTGACATCCTAAAGAAAGCACACGCGCTCAAGCATGACGACGGCAGCAACAGCAAAAGGTGTAAGCCCGTGCGCGTGACATCACCCGCTCTTGTGAAGCAATTATGGGAATGGATTCAGACAGTCGAAGCCCAGGACATCTGTCTCTCTCGTGAGCTGATAAAGATGAGAGCGCGGGACATTCAGAAAGAGCTGTGCGACGCGTGGGATCTCGCATTCTCCGACGGCTGGCTGACCTCGTTCGAGCAGCGGCATGGACTACGCAGCCGCCAGTCCTGGTGAAGCTGGATCGGCAGATCCTGCTGCTGTCGCCGCTGGTCGCCAACGACTCTGTGGTGTAGTGATTTCTCCGTAGTTGCGGATTATCACCCGTCGACAAAGACGTGACAGCAAAAGGTGTAAGCCCGTGCGCGTGACATCACCCGCTCTTGTGAAGCAATTATGGGAATGGATTCAGACAGTCGAAGCCCAGGACATCTGTCTCTCTCGTGAGCTGATAAAGATGAGAGCGCGGGACATTCAGAAAGAGCTGTGCGACGCGTGGGATCTCGCATTCTCCGACGGCTGGCTGACCTCGTTCGAGCAGCGGCATGGACTACGCAGCCGCCAGTCCTGGTGAAGCTGGATCGGCCGATCCTGCTGCTGTCGCCGCTGGTCGCCAACGACTCTGTGGTGTAGTGATTTCTCCGTAGTTGCGGATTATCACCCGTCGACAAAGACGTGACACCGCCCAAGATGTTCAAGCAACGAACCCTCGGTCATGTGATGTGCGGAGACGCCAAGGTGCATGGGACTCGACGGCGTCACTCCCGAGCTTTCGACGAGTATTGGATACGGCCATATGTCACTGAATCCAGGCTAACCTTATTATTAATAATGGACTGGCCGGATTCGCATTCAGCGGACCATCTACGGTACGAACCCTCAGTGGCGGTTGGTATGAGTTCGCGGAAGACTCAGCGACCCTTGGAAGGCACATTCACCATATGGGACAGGGCGCGGACCGTTAAAGATGCTCATGCGACGGTGCAGACGACGCTTGCCATGCAAGAAGATCCATATCGGATCATTGTTCACTTGATATTTGTATATTTGATTAGGACTTCTTATTAGGAATAGTCCCGAAAGGGTAAGCTTAAATACAGAACAGAATTTCCACTTAAGCACACAGAGCGACGTCCGGCTTCAAGGTAAGCGTCAGGTCAAGCTTGTTTGAGTGTGTTATGCCTGTCGGTGAACTCGAAGCTCTGTAGCGAGGGTTCATCTGGCAAGGCCAAGAGACTTTGTGTATTGGCCGATTACTATCGGAAGGTTTTTACGTGACGGCTTATTGTTGCCTATTTGCACGACTGGGAGTGCTTGGATTGCCTCCCTTTTATTCTTCCAGCCGAGTGTTGAACACTCGGTGATCTCGTTAAAGGCTTACCCGTGCCTGGTACCCTTCCGCTGTTGGGACCACGAGGATACAAAACACCTGCTAGCTTTGCTCGTGCTAGTAGCGTGTTCTTATTTTTACTGGTTGGCCTATATAAGTAGTTTACAAGGTCCAGTTTGTCCCGGTGCAAGGGCAGAACTGGGGTCTTCAGGTCCGCCCGAACGATCGTTTACTATCCTAGTAGACGTATTGATGTGGGAACATCCTAACTACATTTGTAGCTAGAGTTCACGTGGGATTTCCAACACCACAACTGGTGCCGCGACCCGGGTACAGATTGTGACCATTGTGAACTGTTTGTATGGCCTTCCCGTTTACGAGCTACCAAGAGAAGAAGAACAAGAAAAAGACAAGAAACATGGCGAAAGGACAACCGACAGTACCAGTTACGCCTGCCAAGTCTGGCGGGGCTCGCAACGAGAGATCAAGCCCGGCTGCGCGCTTTGCAGCCGCCACCGAGCTTTCAGTGAGCTTCGACGACGAAGCGGACATCGGTCCTGACGCCCACGTTTATGAAGATTACGAAGACAAGACGCCGGCTCCAGAGCCAGGCGCAGCGACGCCGGAGACGGCCACGCTATCATCAGGGCTGAGCGGGGCGACCGGGTCCCTTTCGAGGAACCTCGCCGACGAGCTCGATGATGTTGCGGGACCGGAACCCGCCTACAAAGATTATGACGATGGGACCGAGGGTTCTAAACCTTTGGTGGCGAGTGCAAAGCATTCAGCACTGCTGAAAGCACCTCGCCCACCTATCAACGGTGATACACCATCCGCCAAGCGCGTTTTCGACCGCGTACAAGCGCTGATGCAGAATGATGAGTGGATGCAGCTGTTC